AATTATGATTCATATTTCTTTTTTTTTCCTTGATTTGTTTTCCGCCGATCTTGTTTTCCGTGCTGAGCACCAATGCTACCGACGCCAGGAAGGCAGCTCCCACACCTGGACCCTACCTATCGACCCATCAACTCATGAACCGGGGACCAACGGCTTTACTTCCTTTTCGAAGGCGTGATCAGAGATGTTATATGCCTCAGAACATCCCGGCGGCGCCTACTGGGATTGCACCCAGGCCTGCTAGGGTTTTTTTTATATACAGGGGGGAATCTGCTCACAGTCACCTGAGCATGGAATCACGGTGTTGGGATGGGAGAATTGCAATCCCGACCCACTAAACCTTACCCTGTGCGCTTGGCCCTTGACCTCCCCAGAACCGCCCGAAGGCATTACTTCGTGGGAGGGGCCGCTATAGCGCTATGGCGCTTCTCTAGCAATACTCTATCGATCTTGTGGGGATGGGAGAATTGCAATCCCGACCCACTAAACCTTACCCTGTGCGCTTGGCCCTTGACCTCCCCCGGAACCGCCCGAAGGTATTACTTCGTGGGAGGGGCCGCTATAGCGCTATGGCGCTTCTCTAGCAATACTCTACTATCGATCTAGTCGGGCAGTAGGCAACTGCTGCTTGGCACGCCACTGTCGTTGTAATTCCGAAACTATGTGGGTGACCGCACTCCAGTTCTCGGTGGTACCACACATCCTAGGGACGATGTTATCCGGACTAGTATCCGCTCCGCATATCGCTAGCATGGCGCTCGATACTGGCTCGAAGTGTGGACAGGCAAACACAACGTGTTCGGCCGTCTCTTCGACGCCAGCACACGTGGGGCAGGTGGGAGTACTTACATGTCCGAACCTATACAAGTAACTCCTAAAGCAGCCATGGCCTGACAGGAACTGTATCAGGTGGAAGTTTACTTCCCCGTGGCGCCTGTTGACCCAGCTTGATACGGAAGGCATCAAGCGGTAGGTCCACCTCCGCTTTGTGGAGTTTTCCCACTCCGACTGCCATCTCGCAATCGACACCGCTCGCGCGTTGTTGCGCGCCCCTCGAACGGTCCTCGCGTCATAGCACACCACGTCCTCTTTATACGATTGGCATCATCCCTGCTATGACACAGACGACCTCCCTCGAGATGGTGTGGTATGCGCTGGCCACCCTCAAGCACATTAGCCTGTGTGTACTCTCTAATTTACGCCTGTGATAGTCAATATCCAGTACCGCAGCCCACGCAGGGCCGCCGTATCTGAGGATAGATACTACGACCCCAGTGAGGAGCCTGCGCTTACTTGCATTCACTGCCGAGCTGTTTGACATCATGCGGGATAATGCCCCCACAGCCGTAGACGCTCTCTTGCAGGCGTACTCGACGTGGCAGCCGAAGCTGAGCTTATCATCGAGCATAACCTCCAAGAGTTTCAGAGAGCGCACAGACCTAATTATGCTTCCGCCGACTGTCAACGTCGCATGCTGTACCGACATGCGATTGTTGACTACGACCACTTCCGTCTTGTGATGGGCAAGCTCCAGTTTCTTGGATCTCATCCATTCCTCCACAAGCTTGACGCAGTGAGCCGCTGTCAGCTCTACATCCTCGAGGGATGACTAGGTAGACTACCAGCGTGAAATCGTATAATCGGGATGATACCTTTAAAAATGGTTGTTAAACCGTGGGCTAACTACAGGAACAACCGTGATATTTTTTAATGTGTATATAAGTATAGGTATTTCAAGATATAATTATAAAGTGTCCCAAATATGAAGGTGTCTGAATATGAATCAGAAGGGTAGAGTAAAAATTGACGAAAACACCGGCCGATGTCTCACTTTAGGTGAGTCACAAGTCTTTGATGTATTCGGCAACATTTCTCAGAACTATAAAATTCACAACTTCGCGGAAGAATTCATCCTTCTAAGTCCCCATTTAAAAGATAGATTCGAGCGCCACCTATGCGGCAGGAATAATCAGAAAACACCAAAAACTTGGCCCTTAATAAACTGAGCAGCTTGTCGAAGAGTGAAAATTTGTAGAATGCATACGGCGTTAGAGGTTTTGGCCACGCTACCGGGTTTACTGCCCCACTGTGCGGCTCCATCTTCTATCTCCATCTCTTTCTCTCCTCCTCCTCAGTGTTCTTCTCACCATCCATCGGAAAAACAATCAGGTTTAATCACTTATGGAAACTGTGGGTAAGACGGACAGTTGATTGTTAACGGTTCAGTTCGGTTCGGTTTCACGTGTTATGGATTTCGGTGTTATTAATTAAAATTGAACATAACTAGGTATATGTAGTACCTTTAAGCATGACTTTAATCTACACAAAATTGATATTTCCAACCAAATGCTGTATTTATAGACGAAAAAATAACAATAAAGGGTGATACGGTCAAAATTTGGTCAATATCAACTTGACGTATTTCTTTCAATTTTGCATTTAAAAAACCTGAACGCCCCTCATTTTGAAGGTGTGTGTGTGTAGAATGTTGCTCCTATTTTGATTTTGGAATTCACTCTTCAGTTGTCAAAATGCCGTCCAAGCAAGAAGAGCAGCGTATCAAAATTTTGCTCGCGCATCGCGAAAATCCGAGCTACTCGCCCCAAAGTTGGCAAAATCGCTAAAAGTTGCCAAATCAGCCGTTACAAATGTAATTAAAGTGTTTGGGGAACGTTTGTCGACAGCCAGGAAGTCTGGATCGGGGGGAAATCGAAAACCGGAAGCCACTGAGACGACAAAGAGAGTTGCCGGTAGTTTCAAGCGAAACCCTAACCTCTCTCTCCGAGATGCCGCAAATAAGCTGGGTGTATCGTCTACAACCGTGCATCGAGCCAAAACACGAGCCGGACTATCGACTTACAAGAAGGTAGTGACTCCAAATCGCGATGATAAACAAAATACGACGGCCAAAGCGCGATCCCGGAGGCTGTACACGACGATGCTGACGAAGTTTGACTGCGTGGTAATGGACGACGAAACCTACGTCAAAGCCGACTACAAGCAGCTTCCGGGACAGGAGTTTTATACGGCAAAAGGAAGGGGAAAGGTAGCAGATGTTTTCAAGCACATGAAACTGTCAAAGTTCGCAAAGAAATATCTGGTTTGGCAAGCCATCTGTACCTGTGGCTTGAAAAGCAGCATTTTCATAGCTTCCGGGACTGTCAACCAAGAAATTTACGTGAAAGAGTGTTTGAATAAACGTCTGCTGCCTTTCCTGAAGAAACACGGTTGTTCCGTACTGTTTAGGCCGGATTTGGCATCTTGCCATTACGGTAAAAAGGCCATGGAGTGGTACGCCGCCAACAACGTGCAGGTGGTTCCCAAGGACAAGAACCCTCCCAACACGCCAGAGCTCCGCCCAATTGAGAAATACTGGGCTATTGTCAAGCGGAACCTAAAGAAGACCAAAAAAACTGCTAAGGGCGAGCAGCAGTTCAAGGCAAACTGGCTTTCTGCGGCGAAGAAGGTGGACAAGGTGGCTGTACAAAATCTGATGGCAGGGGTCAAGCGTAAGGCCCGGCAATTCGGATTTGGAAAAGCGGAAGCCTAACTGAATATTTTTCCTGAATTTTATACTAATTGAACTTGAAAAAGAAATTTAATTTGATTTTTTAAATAAACGATTTCACCGATTTACACGCGTTTTCCCTTGACCAAATTTTGACCGTATCACCCTTTACTTAGGGTGTCCGTTTACCCCCAATCTGGATATTTCTTGTGGCACACCAGCAGTAACATTCACTATTGATGACAAATTTCGATCAAGCCTTACTCATTGCGTTCTACCAGACAAGTATGACTGAAAACTGAACCCTCTTTAATAGTCCAGAATTGAAACCTAACTTAGATAATTTAAAAAGCAACAAAGGGTTATCAGCTCTACCATATGCTTTATTATTGGTGGGGGAACTTGACAAACTTGATATCCATCCCTGTTTTCTAGAAACCCAGATAATATATTTTTCGGGCAAATTGCAACAAAGTTTCGTATAGAGGGAAAAAGTAATGTTATGGTGACAGTTCTTATGTTTTCTTTTACTTAGACTTTTTTTTTTAGCTAGCATACATATTTTTGATAACTTTTTGGATATTCAACGAAAACGTATTATTTTTTACAGTTCAAAGCTTTGAATAAGTAAACACTACGAAAAACTCATGTACAATTCGGTCACTTATGACAATTATAGCATAACTACGTGAAATTCAGTTGAATTAAACGGATTTGTTTCGAACCGACGAAAAATAGACAAGAATAATTACTCTTTAAAATGTTTTTTAAAATTATATTTTTAAAAGACATTAACGCAATCCAAATGTCACTTTAAATTCAGCTTTAAAATAGAAAAGATATTGGAGTAGGTCTGTCTGTCTGCAAACACCCAGCTCTCAATTCAATTCCGCTGGCAAGTGGATAGCGATGACCCCACGCATGATTGATTCGGTCGGTATTCGCAAAGCTCTCCGTTTGATGAAAGTTCCCTTGAATTGCCATTATTACAATTATCTTGCTTTTCATACACTTTTTTGTGTACTGTGTCTGCCTTGCCGTCTGTTGGTGGTGATGACTGTTGCTGTTTAGTTGTTGGAGGATATTTTTCTTTCTCACACTTAATTATAACAGCCGGTCCGGATTACAAGCTGAGCATCTCTCGACGGTGAACGCCTACCACCATTCATTGACTGGTTTCCTCCCGCGCCTTTTTTGCATTACTGCATTGCCTGGTATTTTACCCACCTAGGGGTGTAGACGAGTGCTTTTTTTCGTGAACATAACAGGAGAGAAGAAAATTTCGCAATTTAAAGCCGTCGAAATTGACTCACATTCAAATTGATATTTCCGCATATTTTTTTCACTCTCGTTTGAAAATGATGCTATATCTACAGGTTTTGTTTTTTTTTGTTTCCGTTTAATGTTTTTTTCTTAGTCGGTGAACACTTTTGTTTTCAACTGAATTTAACTTATTTTTGTTTTCTATTCATTCTTTTTTTATTTCACACAGGCGGATGCATCATTAGGAATGCTAGAAAGAGAATACCTGCAGGAATCCCTCAGTTATGTTCTGGGAATACAGGAAGTACAGGAAAGGATAAAGTTCGAGTTTGTGGAAATTATTTTAAGTGAGTAATCAGTGTCTTCTTTGTTGATATAGCTTAATGAGTGTGTTCCTTTTGTTTTCTGTAGGATTCATATCCGATTGGCTAGTATTTTACCACCTTGGCCATGAAGTAGCAGAAGATGCCAAAGACTATCTATCAGATCTCCAACTCAAAGTTCAAAAGGTAAGTACAGATGTCTAACTATTGAAATACATTGGCGTAGCTAGGGTCTAAGCACCTTGGTTATTATTTCGTATTTAATTATTAATAATCTCCATCTCCATCTGCTGGTTTTCAACGGGAATTAAGTAGCTGGGAATCGAAAACAACCGATATGTAATTGGGAATTTTATGAAACACGTCAGCTGATATATTGAAGTCGAACATGTAAAAGAAGTTGTTGAATTGCCGGCTGATTGCTCGAATTGGGTCGTGTTGTGATTAATTTCGGCGCCTTGGTTCCAAAAACAAAAAGTCGCTTTGACGAAGAGGCCTCCCAGAGGCATACATATTTAGCTGAGACAGCAGTGTTGGACAGTCAAAAAGCTTGAGCGACCGTCCGTCTCACCTCTAATGGTTCGATTCCCAGGAGACGGCTGCACTCCTCTTACGGTGGCAAGTTCGTTGGGTCATGCCAATTGAGGAAACGAAGAGTATATCTCACAATTTGCGTTGAACGGATTCAATTCTAGTAATACAGGTAGCATTGAAAGGGCACCAAACACCGAACAACTAAACTTGACTCCAATAAGGATCGCACAAGCGAGCAGCAAAGTGACCTGAGGCATAGCGGGTCACGGAACTCGTCGGTAATTTTGAAAATAAAACCCAATTGTCGATTAGCTCTAGATATGATGTCATTTAAGTGGATTCTGAAAGTGAGTCTGCATAGAAAACGCGGCATCCTGATGGTATCAGAAAGGTGACGTTGTTTAAAAAGATCGTAAACAGTACCGGTCCTAGGTTACTGCCTTGCGGAGCTCCCGAGTTGTTTGACAAAACATCCGATTCCGTCGCGCCAATCTTAACCCGTACATAGCGATTCACCAAGTAAGATCTGAACCAATACACAGTCGTTGACGAGACACCAAGTATCTCCAGCTTGGCCAGCATGATATTATAGTCCACCGTGTCAAATGCATCTTTAAGATCCATATACGCAGCATCGACTTGCCATCCTGAATCCATGCATCGTAGACAGTTAGAAGTAAGCTGCACCAGGTTCGTGGACACGGAGGGCTTCGGGTAAAAGCCGTGTTGTTCTGTATCGATATAATTTTTGCATCACGGGAACAGATAAGAAAGTTTCCAGCGGCAGGAGTTCCCGCATTGCTTTGCCGAGAGATTGAATAGCCTCGCAAGTGGAAGGCAGTTATTAGTTTCACAACGTTTTAGAACCGATGACGGAATGCCGTCAGGTCCGGCGGCGAACGAGAACTTCAGTTTGCGTGTTGCGGCTATCATCATGTCTTTTGAAATACGCAGAATATCGAAACTAAACACCTCATGTGACATCCCAACAGTAGCATCAAGCACTTGTGTCGGCGAAGCGGAGAATTCATGGAACACTTGCTTGAAATGACGAGCAAACAAGTCACCGAGTCATTCCAGAGAAACATGGAACAAGGCAACCCTGATTCCTTCCGTTTGGAGTTGACAAACGACCAAAAACTTTTCGGATTCATGCGCAGGTTCGCTTCCGTGTGTCTCACGTGTCGATTATAGAGAAACCGATTGTAATTTCGATAACTACAACTCGCAAAATTGAACAGTCGTTTGTAGTACGGCGAGCAAGAGTTACAATACTTTCGGAGGGCGGCAGAGCGTTGACATTTTAGCACGCCTAGGCGTGGGTTAGACCATGGAGGCTTTTGCGGGGGTCGTCGTGCTGGGACAACGCGGAAAATAGCACCTATCAGTGCAGCACTGAAAAATCCACAGCATTATTCACGCTAGTGGCTGTTTCGATAAATTGCCAATCAATTTCCGCAAGCGCATTGTTCAATGCAACATAATCGGCTCGGCGAAAGTCCAAAGAGTAGCACTCAGATGACGGCGTAAAAACAATCGGCTAAGTTAAACTAAATGACACGACGAGAGCGGGATGATCGGCATCTAGATTAATCAGTGGCTCGACCGGCAAGGAAACAGAAGTGCCGGTAATGCGGAATCATTTGCCATGATAAGATCTAGCAAACGTCCATTTCGATTCGGAAAAGTATTGGCTTGTGTGAACCCGTAAAAGTTAAAACCGTCCAAAAGAACATAGCAAGCAACCCGCATATGCGAACGTAGTGGATCAATTAATGGTGTGCCATTGTCTGCAAAGCGCCACTGCAAACCAGCTTGATTCGAAGAAATTGAGAAGAAATCGAGCCTAACGATTCCACATGCTTACGGATGATCGTGCAGTCGTTTTTGCGGTCGAGGGGCCGGTAGATTGCGCCACAGCTAGAGTTGAAGCGGTATCAGACAAAAGAGAGGCTGAATCGACACCCCCGACCTACATCTACACTCAGGGCCGAGACGACTATGCTGAGCGCTGGCTGGAATAAGCGCGACTGAGGCAGATAAATCGGGGGCTTCCACAGTGCTATCCACGATGCGTCTCGGTGGTGATGGGTCATGGTCCAGAAACAGTACCTCAGCATTATTCTTGGAGATTGTGGAAACATCATGACATCATGAATGGTTTGAAGACCCCATCTCCAATCCCACACACAGGTCCAGGATGATTGGTGAACGAAGGCGGGAAAAGCTCGACTGTGATGGGAGGATTAGGGGCTTCCATGGAGTTAACATCGTAGTGTCCCAGAGTTATGCTGGTAAGTGAAGAATCATGGTTGATCGTTGTAGTGCTGAAACCGGTGAACGAGTCAGGAATGGATCTGGTCATCAGAAGATCGGACTTGCCTGCTTTGTACGGTTGGAAGACCACGTTTCCAAGCTCACACACAGGGCCGGGACGACTGATGAACGACAGCTGCAGAGGCACGACTGTGGCGAGAGGATCAGATCAACCCGATAAGCAACATAGAGGGTGCCAGTTAGATGTGTAGTACCTCATTACTATGGAAATGTAATTCGTTTTCGATACAGTTGCATACTTGCTCTTTTCACAAGAAGCCTCATTCAATTGTGATGTTCCGCATCTCATCAATCAATATAGGTCTTACATGAATTATGATGTCCCGCATAGTTTTGAAAAGGTTCTCACCTTTTCAGCAATCCTAATAGGTCTTCCTAGGTCAAAAAGACGAGCTTCGGGCCAGTGTTTGATGCGGTAGATCTTACATCCCGTAACGTAGCATTGCATATATTTATAAACAATTTTGTTAAAAGTGGTGACCGATTATGTTAGCCTAGACTGACTGCACATATCAATGGTTGCTACTCCGTGATTGATCAGAATCAGTGAAATTACACATTGAATGGGACTGTATATTTTAATGACTTTCGTTGTTTTGGGGACCGTGTTTACCTCTGCGTCATGCGGAGATTTTGTTGGTAGGTTAGTTTCGTTGGATCAGGATTCAGTGTGATTAGTGATGCGAACGTAGTTTTGATATAATGTATTCATTTCCAAAATTGACGCGAATAAGACTTGCGATATTTTAATGTCTGGTAGGCAAACGATGCAACCCTATCAACTCAGTAATGTTAAGTGGCCTGGGAGGAACCCCACGATCTTCAGCTCAGTAAACAAAATCTTTTGGACTATAGAACCGAGCCCAAATCAAGAAAAAAAAACATCAAACAATAAATCAACCGCGAGCACTATTGCAGCACCAATTGCGGAACAAAACGTTTGCAAAAACTAAATTAATTAGATTGAATTAAACTATAGCGCACTGGACCCGGAACTAATAAAATTCGATCACCGGTTCAAAATATCACAAAAAAAAAACACGCTAGAGAACAAAACGTATGCGAAAAACTAATGTAATCGAATTATCATGAGAACATGCGACCGCTCTGCTCGGCTGCCCTCACTTCTTCTTCTTTTTCTCCTTCTTCTTCTTCTTCTTCGCATTTTAAGCTTATTGCATATCGCATATTAGCTTATTGCGTGCTCTCAACTTAGTCTTCTAGATGCACTTCCACAGTTGTTAATTGAGAGCTTTCGATGTCTGTACCATTTTTGCATTGATATGATTGTGTGGCAAGTCCAATCATACTTCTATGCTCAGGGAAGTCGAGAAATTTTCCAACCCGAAAAATTCCTAGACCGAACCGGGAATTGAACCCAGCCACCTCCAGCATGGTCTTGCTTTGTAGCTGCGCCTTTACCGACTGAGCTAAGGGAGGCCCCGGCTGCCCTCACAGCACTCATTAAAAGTACGACCGATTAAGTTAACGGTTAATTTCAGTTTTGTTAAAAGTTATTTAATATCGTTTGAATTTGTTGCAATTCGAATGTTGGAAAGATTGTTCAATTTCATTTAAAATGTCCAGTTTGCTTAAAAGTAATTACTATGAATTATGAGAAAAAATAGCATTTCGTTAAAAGTTATGTTAGATCGCTGTATGGCCACCAGCCAAACAAATTAAAACAAAAATTAGCTATTTAGTATCATTGCTCAAGTGTCTTCACTCAATTCTGTTTTTACGCGATTTTCATTTTTTTTTCGATTTTGTCCTTAGTAATTGTTTAGTAGCATTTGTAATACCATCGTATTTTTCTTTGATTTTGTGATTGTGATTTTTTAAACAAGCTGCATTAAATGTGATTGAAATTTGAGATCAAAATATAGACGAAAAAAATTGCGTAAAAACAGAATAGAATGTATTTCAAAATATGTAGGATTGATTACAAATCTAAGCTTCAACGACAGATAAAGGAGCCTAATAGCCTAATAGGCTAAATTTTACATTCCGGTATCCTACCGAAAATATATTCGATAGTCAATCAATGTGACTTTTCATTAAATTCTTAATCAACCGGAATTCTCTGAAGGACATTATAATTGTATTTTGATTGAATCGGAGCCGGAGTCGGGTTATTTAGATCCGACTTCACAGCCCTGCATGCAGCATAACATATCTTTGCTAACGGTCTTATAGAACATATTAGGTTCCATGCATTGATTATGTCACGCGAAATTTAGGACAAATTTACAACCTCCTTCCCTCCCACCTTTCGTCCACCCGTGGAGCGTGACATAATAAATGGACCACTCATTATTTATTTCTACATTTCCGAAGGAAAGTTTTTAGTCTACATTAATAGCTACGCCAATGCGTCTTATAGTGCATTCCATATTCTTAATTTCCGTTGTCCCAACAGACCCGAGAAAACTTTGATGAAACTCGTCAGAAAGCGCAAGAACTAAAACACAGATACATGGAGAGCAAAATGAAACCAGAGAGTGAATACACCAAGCAGGGCTATCTATTTCTGATGGAAAAGAGTAAGTACAAATGGTTAGACCAATAGGATTCCAACTAAATTGTTTAAATTCTATTCAACAGAGGCGTTCACTGCAACATGGTCCAAATATTATTGTACGTACAAAAAGCAGAACAAGAAGTTCTCCATGCTTCAATTTAACCAAATGTCGGGTCGATCGGTAAGTGCTATTGGAATACACTTGTTTCATACTCGCGTAATGGCGAAAGTTAACTTATTTTCGAATAGCAATCATCGACGGAGGTGTTGACGTTAGCCTCGTGTACACGGAGGCTTTCGGAGTTTGAGAAGCGTTATTGCTTCGATTTGATCTTTGACGAAAGGCCTGCGATTACGTACACGTTTCAGGCGCTTAGCGAAGAAGATCGCAAAGCATGGCTAAATGCGATGGATGGCAAAGAACCGGTATGTCTAACATACGTTGATCAATTGGTTGACTTATTTTTGAATTGTTTTAGACGTACCCGATACCATCGACGAATCACAACGAGGATGGAAACCTGGACGAAGTCGGTTTCGCGTTTGTGCGAAAATGTATAGAAGTACTGGAACGACGGGGCCTGGAGGAAGAGGTTTGTTAAAGATGAGCAAATATTTACGGCTATGCTAATTGATTTTAAATTTGAATGTTGTTTGCTAATACGTACCCGCTTTCGCCGCTTTCAGGGTCTGTACCGAATCGGCGGTGTGAGTACAAAGATAACGAAGTTATTAAACATGGGACTAGACAGAAAAAAGACTGAAAAGGATAGATTGATGTTTTTCAATGATGAGCAAAGCTCGGATGTGTTAGAAAGTAAGACGATAGCAAGTGCACTGAAGCATTATTTAAGGAACCTGAATGAGCCGTTGATGACATTTCGGTTGCATCATTCGTTTATAGCCTCGGCAAGTATGTATCTTTTGCGAAATAGTTCATTGTTTGTTTTGTTGCTTCATACTAGTTTATTGAAATTACAGAACAAGAAACGCGACAACAGCGAATAAATGATGTTCACCAGTTGATACACAGGCTACCTAAGAATCATCTTGAAATGTTGGACATTGTCGTGAGGCATCTGAAATCGTAAGTGTCGCTTTTACCTTTTTTTATATATTCGTTTGAACTTACACTATTTATCCTCTCCATCCTCCAGCGTTTCCATAAAATCGGATAAGAACAAGATGTCTGTGTTCAACCTAGGCGTAGTATTCGGACCAACACTGCTGCGTGCAGCTGAGGAAACTGTTGCTGCCATATTAGATATCAAGTTCAACAATGTTGTGATAGAGATGCTGATTGAAAATTACGAGAAAATTTTCAAAACGCAGCCCGGCAAAAACATCGATTATCTGTGAGTATGATATACTAGTGATTAGGCGAAAAATATCTTCTATTTACTGTCATGTTTGTATATGTTACGCAAATAGAAACTTTCTGTTGCGAAGGAATAGTTTTATTTTGAATTGTGCTGATGGGCGGCGATTTTGCTCTAAGCGGTTTTCGTTATCATTTGGAGAACCTTTTCATATTTTAAGGTATTTGCGAATTTTAACGCCTTTGTAGGGAATGCTAGCAGGCTCGAATGTCAAATAGTAGTAGAGCCTAGTAAATAATTTAAAAAATTGCATTTTAGACCACACACAAACACGAGCCCACCGTTAGCTATGCAACGATCGTATGCTGGCATCGGTGGTGGTGGAGGAGGAGGGGGCGGTGGTGTTGGTGGTATTGGAATTGTCGGAGCAGGTTACGGCAAAGATCGCGGTTCAACCTACTCGCAGCCTGTAGTGCGGGTTGTTGCCAAATCAAACTACACCGAACCAGTAATGTCATCTAGCCTTCAAAACATTTCCAATGGACTATCCCTGTACAGTAAAGGAACAAATCATTATCCCACCTATGAGGCAAAGCCGAAAATAATAACTACGATCAACAGTTCTACACCATCCCTGTTACGGGATACTACCCTATCACCTCGTGAAATCAGTATAGACACGCGGGAGAGCACTTACCTAAAATCAGCGCCATCCACAATCACCATCAGTAGTCACAATAGTCCGCCGCCCAGCCACAACCATCAATTAGGGCGGCAGGACGGCGGAGGAAGCAGTCAAATATATCAGAGCGCCTATCAGAGCCATCTGTTACACAGCCGAGCTGAACCAATGTCAATGATCCGAGGTGGTAGTGCAGGCTCGGAGAGTATTTATGGTGCCACAACAGCAATGCACAAAATGGGTCATCCCAATCCAATGACCAGCAGTGATTCCAATCTAGCGAGCACTAGGAAAGAGCTTTCAATCTACGACCGAATAAATTCCACTAGCAGTTCAAACGAGTCGGTGTGTTCCTCATCTAGTCGAGATTTAAATCATTCATACGGAAGCACCCGAGTTATGCCTAGCTGGGAGTATGGTACGGGTAACGGAAGCATCGGCGTCGTGAGTAGCGCGCTGAGTAAGTTCTCCATTCGGGACGATGCTAGTCAAGGTTATATCCCGAAGAAGACACAACGCACGAAAGGTCTTACGCGCCATACTAAACTAGTGACACCTAGAGATAATCTGTAAGTTGCCTAAATTATTATATTTTACAATGATGCAGTTTTGCAATCTAATTCTTTGCATTGTTTTAGCCGAGTGAGGACTTTGTACGCATGTTTAGCCGAGAATGACGGAGAACTCTCATTCGAACCCAATCAAATCATTACCAATGGTAAGTAATCGATAACGATTTGTTTTTCTTAGGTACTAGCTCTTGAAAAATATAAGAGATCGATCGCAGCATTTGATTGTTAACTCCTTGAATGCACCAGTGTTGATCTTAACTATAAATTTTGATCGAAACACAGAGGAGTAACTAGTACAACAATCTTTCTTCAATTATATACTGTTGTTTGTGACATTATGCTTTGATATGAAGTAAAATGTAATAGTAATTTATTTTGCATTAAATTGGAATTAAAATTTTTTGGTTTTTTTTTTAATTATAGTCACTTTAACACTCCTGGGTCATTTGTGACTTGTCCGGGGATGAGATTTGAACTCGTAACTTTAGCGTGAGAGGTATGGATGGTATCCACTACGCCGGAATCGCCCCCTTTCAAAATTGTAGCAAAATGATGGAAAACATACAGTTTTTAAACGGCTTACAAATGCCAGCCAGAGTTCTCCTCAACACTATTTTTTATAACAACTTCAAGTTTCATGCGTCATTAGATTTCACTTTTTTATGTTTCTTGTAAACAAGGTAAAACATTTGAATTTTTACAACATTATCTAATAATTAGTTAGCATTGAACACAAACAACTAATTTTGTATGTATGTATGTATGTATGTATGTATGTATGTATATGTATGTATATGAATATATATACAATCCAACTTCCACTGTCCGGCAGTGTTTTTATGGAAGAAAAATGTTAGCAATATAATCTATTATTATCTTATACTGATCCCATTGCCAACAATTTTAGCCCGGAAGTTGAAAGGTGTTATCTCTGTTGAGATTCAGTAAACCATTTCAGAATGCCTGGCCACTCACGTCCATTCCGAGATTACTTTCACTTACAACAAGCCCCGCATATACGTAGTACTGATATAAAATGTATATTGGTACTGCGTATACACTTCCATCATCAAAGCAATTCCTGCTTTGTAGATGGACGTATTTAGTATAGACCTGTGCGCCGATCAAAATATTTTCGGCGGCGGCGTGATATGTTATTTTCTGCCGGCGGCGGCGGCGTGGCGGCGTCACGCCGTTTGATTTCGGCGGCGGCGGCGTGGCGGCGTGGGTCGGCGTGAGTTTATTTCACCTGATTTAGAAAAAAAAAAATCTTTCCAAACCAATCGCACATTGACAAAAAATGCTACCCATATTTGATTTCAGATTACTGGAAATCGCTAAAACGTAGGTCACTCAGAGTTTAAGTAAATTTTCCGACACTTTCCCGGGGAAAACTTCTCGATTACAGGGAAAAATTAAGAAAATTGTACACAGGTTAGAAGTGTACTAGAAGACTGATTAAAACCTCAATCAGTTTTTCTCATATTCGAGAAGTTTTCCTCAGAAAAGCGTCGGAAAAATTATTCAATCTATGAGTGATCTACGATTTCGCGAATTTGAGTAATCTGAACTCTCATGCTGCGTTAGTGTGGTGGTCAGAATCAAAAGAGGCTACTGTACAGAGGAAACTAGCAAAACTTCAACGTCTAGCATGCATTGCAATAACGGGTGCGGTGCGTAGCACCCCATAAAAAGCATTAGAAGCAATCCTCAATCTGCTGCCCTTTCATGAACATGTGCCAGGTGATCTTGTTGGTCATCTAAGCATCTTCCCGAGTAGCACACTTTCATCACAATAAGTTACAGCAACTTGTTTATGACTGTAATAAGTCGTATATAAGTTTCTACAATTGAATTGTAACACTACTAGGGTTACAATACATCCAAAGAGGACCAGTGATGAGTATGAATGGAGACTGGATGAAACCAGAGGACAACTATGAAATTCCCTTCAACGTTTGTGAAACGGCACGTTCGGATTGGGAAACTGGTGGTCCTAACATTCGTCAAGGCTCAATCATATTTTTCACAGATGGCTCAAAAATTGGAATACGAACAGATGCAGGAATCTTTGGCCCCGGGACAAATATTTCAGTTGCGATGGGACATTTTCCAAAAGTGAGCCATACTGTGGAATATCATACTGTACGGTAAAAATGGAACTTAAATGCTGGGAAGAGCAAAGGATGATGGCCAATTAGATGACTGTCACAAACTGCAACCAGCCGAAAAGATTTATAACTCCTAATATAACATACACCAAAAAGCTCTTAGAGCTCAATAAAAGAGCTCTTAGTATATACACTGGCCTAGTAACTGGGCACTGTCCTAGTAGATATCACATGAAGAACATTGGTCGGGTTCAGAGTAATATCTGTCGTGTCTGTAATTTGGAACGTGAAACCTCGGAGCATCTGTTCTGCAGTTGTGGTGCATTACACAAGCGTAGATCCAAATTTCTTGGAAGTATTAGCTTACAACCTAGTGATATTTAGTCTGCAAAAATGGTTTTATAAACCATATTATACCGGACTGGGAAAAGATGTGTCCAGGCAATTAGCTGTCTACTCGTTAAATAGTGGTCGGATGGATACTTTTTCCCAGTCTTTCACAAACTTTGTAACAGAATCCGTTGCCTTTACATGTGTCCGCAAGTATGCTTTGGTCAGGGCCCAAAAAGTTTCGATTGGCCTGGCCTGGGGACAGTTTAACGGATTCATCTCCTTGGGTACGAATTGGACCTTGTTGGCTTTATACCAGGCTATCGTGTCCTTGGAGTAATTAACCGACGCCAAATCCGTTTAAACACTCACGCACGTAAACATCGGCTGTCATTATCTCCGTTGTCATAAACGGCTCGGAAAGCATACCACACTCACGAATGGCTTGCCCATAGCATTTTTACCGATTTTTTTTTGAAAAAAAAACCAACTTATCCGCGTCGTCAAACACTTCGGCTTCTCTTCATCGACTTTCTCTTTCGATAATAATTCCTTGATTCGTGTGCCATTCTGGATGCAAGATGAGAACCTCCTTTATCAAACTATGTGGGAGAAACAGCGCAAAATCTGTTTGTAAAGCTGTGACTGTCAAAAGAAAAAGTCGGTGAAGAGAATCGATCAAAGTCACTTACACACTTACACCCCTTTTCTAACCCCCTCAATTCTTATTAGAATTGGACCTAGAATCCTCAACTAATCATCATAGAATTTTTCTCAGAACTCTCGTTAAATGCACTCTCAATTATATTGGAATTATTTCCAAAATTGTGTCGGAGCTAAATTTTGCGTCTCTGATAATTTAAACAATAATCAAAAGCGACGCTTGTATGTGTTAAGCCAAGTTTAACTATATAGGTTAACCTGGCGTAAGATTTAAGTGGAGATGAAGAAATCGGTCCTCAGAGCACTTAATTTCACAAGAGACTTTCGTAGTCTGTACTTTGGTATTCTTCTCTGATATCCTTCAAAATTCTATTAAAATATACTTTGGATTTTTTAAAGTTCTTAATCATCCTTGAAAGACATTTGAAAATCTATCACAGACAAATACATTTGGCAAATTTCCAAGGTTTACAATGTATTTTCTGGGAATGGAGGTATATTTTCCCCGATTTTTAATCGAATTTGAAGGCATTTCCCAATAGTTTTCCTGGTGTTCAAAAGTTTTGCGGTTCACTGATCACCCTGTTTAAAATTTTAATTTTTTTTAACAGATATGTATATTTTGTCAAAACTACTTTAGACTTTAGTGCTAAGTACTCAATTTAAACATATTGTTGATATTTTTAAATTTCACTCTATTTTAGTAGTGAAAAAGTGACTTTAGTGGCTATTTTTAGGGAAATAGTGACTTTAATGACTTTTTGGTGTAAAAAGTGACTTTTTAGTGACTGGCTTCAAAATAGTGACCAAGTCACTAAAAAGTGACCTGCTACCAGCCCTGCCTTTTCTTGCGAGTGAAAGCTTGCACGATTTTCCGGTTTAGATTTTGGTCAAAAGGGTTCGGTTTACCTCCAGATTTTTGCTTGTCCTGGAAAGTTGCTTCATCACCATACTTCTGAATCGCGTTTCGAACGGCTCCGATGCTTACACCTTCCAATTTCGCTAATTTACTCAGAGAAATGTTGGGAATTGGGCTGAAAGTTTCCTTAATAATGATATTTAAAAGAAAATGGGTATAGTACATCATTTGTGCACGATCTGTTTGCGCTTTTCCGGAGAAATGCTTCGCATTGTCACGGAAATGTAAAGAACCGCAACTTGCGATACACGAAACTGTTGGTCGAAATGTAAACAATAATTCAGCGTGATAAACAGTTGTTTAAACGGCATCTAAAACAAGCAGGGGTGTTCGAAAGTCGTGCTTAGACATTCTGGGATACCCTATATTCACTTATTCTCCTTTATGTAAATCCGACTTGAATTATTCATTCCTGTGTGCTAGATCGAGAAAGTGCGAACAAACGTCAAAAGACTACACACTAATCGAGTCAGTACGGTTTTACTGAGTTTTTGAATTGCGAAACTGTTCGGTAAAAGTTTAAAAATCTGTGGAAAATTTATTGATGGGGAAATTTGTTCGGAACTTGAACATACTTAGTTCTGTTAACCTCATTTATTGATAGAAAATAAAATTGGTCGATTTCATTGATTCCTTACGGATAACGGTCATTTGAATTTTTACCGACTTTTTCAGCAATTCAAAAACCCAGTAAAAAAAATACTGACTCCTGTAAAAAAATCTTAGTGTGTAAATGACAATCGCTGCACCACACGCTAATTTCAACGCGTTCAAGATAAATTTAACCTAAAGGGATTTGTCATCGGCGTGACATAAATTTATTCGGCGGCGTGGAAGATTTTACTTCGGCGGCGGCGGCGTGGCGCGGCGGCGCACAGGTCTAATTTAGTAGGATGCATTTTATATTTTTATATCTAGTTGTAATGAATTAGATCTCACCGCTTATGTATTGTGTCCTTGCTGCTGAATCTTTGTCAGCTGGATTCTCGTTGAGTCCTGTTGAATAATCGGCATCTGTAGTTGGAATACTCTTTTCTCTCTTTCTCTATCACTTTTCGATGTTTTTCGTATCTCTTCTTGAATATTGTACCTGATGGCTTCTAGTTGAGTCTCCTTTTGCTCCTTTGTTATTCTTTTTTGGTTGTGTCTGTTTTGCTCAGTTATAACAGATTTGCATTTAAAATACTTTTATACAGCAAGAAGCATCTGTAATGCAAATATGAGGTTGATGTGTGTGTGGAGTTAGAAGGTGAAAGCTCTATTGCCGATTCAGCAACCCATTTCAGAATGTCTGGAGAGTCACGCCCTCCATTCCGTGGCTACTTTCACTTACAATAAGCCCCGCATGTAAACACTACCGTTATCATATGGATAATAGTACTGCAAACACACTTCCAGATTTTGAAACGTGAAGTTTCCAAATCTGGCACGTATTTAGTAGTATATGGAAATTAGATTTAAAATTGATTTATAATCAGATTGATCTCACCAAACTCTGCCTCCGCAATACCACCAGGTGCTCGTGGTTATCGTAAACATTTCTGTTCACTGGAAGGGTCACTGTTAATTTTTCTCTGAATCATTCTCCTTCTTAAAACAATATCGATAGCGTATTAATACTTGTTTTCACCACTTCCTCCCTATCCCTACTTGTTCTCTAGGAAATCTCTCCTCACACCAAAGACATGTTTTTATTCTTCATCTTTGTCTCCATTAACCTTCCACCGTTCAATCAGTAGCGCTCAGCCACCCGGCCAAATCCGCGAGTCCTAATCGGAAACGCTGTCTATTCTCGCAAAGTCCCAATAAATCACACTAAATATGACTTAAACGATCAATTGGTCCACTCCCGAATCACCAGCAATAACGACAAATTCAAAATAATGGAAAAAATTGACGTGAGAAAAAAAAACACGTCCGTTTATGAGCACAGCACACTTGGATCCTTTTGCAGGGTTCAGAAAAGTTTTGAAAATCTGATGCAAGTCAAGAATAATGAAGCTTTTTTATGATCGAAAGAGTATAGGGGTGTCATTTTTTCATGTATTTTATCCGAGGGGGGCGACACATCTAAATCTCAAGTTTAGATGCTCAACAAATCTCACACTAGCGAATCAATCTTCGAAAAATCATCTTTCACTTGTCGCATCTAATTGCATCGCTCATCATATTTTTGCAGGAAATCTTCAGAATCGTCATCAATCTTCTTTCTATCTACTCAGCTTGCGCGCAGCTAGTCACAGCAAAACACAATCTTTTTTGCATCGTAGATAGAGTCGTCCCCCTTGATTTTATCCATATTCCCCATACAAAATTCAAACTAAAAGCGCCAGGTCATGTTACAATCAATTGAGCTGAAACTTTCAGAGAATGATTTTCTCACCTCAATGAACAAATCTAGGGATTGGCCCGTGGGAAAATAGAACTTTTATTTTTGTGGGTTAGTCTTATATTATACCCATTTTACCAATTGAGAGTTGCATACTCGTGAAATCGGTGACAGGTATTCTGAATCACCCTGTATAATGCATTTGTGTATTATCATATCGTAAATTGCAACAATAGGAAATACATCGAACAAAGTCTCTAAACAATATGTTTTGCTGTAGAATAGCTTACACAGCCAAATATTACGGTATACAGTTAAAAACCAGCTTAATGTGCTTTCAAACAGCTAAATTAACCGGTGGATTTAGTTTGATGGTGAAAACTTGATACTTAAGCTAATTCAACGTTCTGTTTCTATGGTAAACATAATTGTTTTTTTTCATACTGTAGTTTTTTTTTTAAATGCCTCCATTGCTGTTTCTTGGCTATCCTTGAACACATTGAAGTGATTTCATATACTGAGAACGGGATATCCACCCCCATACCCGAGCAAAGTCTGAGATCAAATTGAAATCTAAATTTGATATTATGATTTCGCTGATAATGATTACTCAGGTTGCTGTCGTTTTGGTCGTTTTAACGGTTAAAATATCAAAATTGAGAGCAAAAAAATCTTTCTGTGACATCACATTGAAAACTATTTCTGCTATCAGTGAGAGCAAACTGAAAACACAATTTTATATTAATTTTTCCTGTTGATAACAAAACAAGTAATCAATTTGATGTTATGCTAAGGCAATGAAAACAAACCCGCAACAACATATTTCTGGAGAGCAAATGTACAGTAAAATGAAAACAAAATTAGGTATCAAATTTGTCAATTAATTATATGATTTGAGTAGTAGCTATAGAGAAGATCCGAGAGATGTCGCCCCTTCAGTGGTAGGAAAATCATTTTTGCAGTATGGAGAATATCAGAAAATCCACGATTTGTGACTAAACATGCTTTCACAGAAGGAAACAAATAAACGAGTGTTTACCTTATCACCATAGTAATGTACTCGTGCAATTTTTGTTTAGATTTTTATTTAGAACTACTCATAAAGACGATAATGAATAAAAACTGAAAATTTTCATGCATTTCCAAATGGTTTCCTACCATTCTCATACATTCTAAGTGACTGGCCCTCTGGATGTGGATAATGTCAAAAACAACAAAACATGATTAATTGCGTAAACTGAAATCAAATTATGATTTCAGTTTGATGTTGATATCAAAACTTGATTTAAATTTGCTGTCATTTTGATGCTGTACTTTGCTCGGGTAGGGAGTACAAATGTGGACAAGTTGAAATACTTGAACTGTTGAGGATAGTTTCTCTATATCATCACTCCGACTAGCCTTCATCTGCTTCCCTTGTGCATAGTGGTGTAGTGGTAAGCGTGATTAACTCTCACCCCAGCAGGCCTGGGTTCAATCCCAGTCGGCGCCGCCGGGATGTTCTGACGCATAACATCTCTGATCACGCCGGGAAGTAAAGCCGTTGGTCCCCGGTTCATGAGTTGATGGGTCGATAGGTAGGGTCCAGGTGTGGGAGCTGCCTCCCTGGCATCGGTAGCATTGGTGCTCAGCCCGGAAAACAAACCAAAGAAAAAAAAAAGAAATTTCTGCATAATTATTCTATTAAATTTTTGTTCATTTAGTTGCAAGCGTAGCAACGCTTGCACGGGGTTCAGCTAGTTTTATATAAAATTAAAATAAACAACGCTGAGGAGCAAGCAAAGCTGTTTGTAACTACCGGATTTGAAAATCATAGGATGCCAATAATCATGCTTTTTCTGTCCAAGTGGTATATGTATGGCCCCTGTTCAGACCAGAGTCGATGTTATAATATTATATGTTTTAATAGGCGTTTTTAATAGAAACTAAACGATCGATTCAACCTCTGGTGGTGAATAGGAGAACGTCCAAAAGAGTGTTGTGAGCATACATTTTTGCCTTGAGACATAGGAAGCGGAACACTTTTTTTATTTTTTCTGATAAATTGATTCATCTGAGATGCTGCAAAACTTAATCTACAGTTGAAAAATTTAATTATGTAACGTTTTTGAAAAGATCCTGCTGGTGTTCAGGAAAATTTTTGTTAAAAAAAATGGAAAATTAGAAAAGTGCCTTATTGGTTATAATCTTCCAGATTTTTTGAGTGTGAATAGTTAAGGTGCAAATCAGTTCAGATTTGTGGAAAATCGTACAATAAGACAATTACCGATGGAAATTGGCAAGATTTTGAATGAAAAATGCTGTTATTTGCGTTGGGAAAATACTTATTCTGATGTAAACAAACGGTTTGGTTGACGTTTCTTCTCGAACTCGCGTGGCGCACTCTACATTGGTGGTGCATTAAGGCTCTGAACCATTTGGTGGATTATTTTAACTTTTGGTTAAAATTTGACAGATGGAAAGTTATCGATTAACCCTGCTATCCGAGCATGGTTATTTCTGACAGACAAGAAGTTAAATTTTGACAACTGTGGCTCAAAAACCGGTCGATCGACAGCACGGGGATTTTCGAACATAGAAAATAACTTTCGAAATGTCACTTTTAACCACGAGTTAAATTTAACTCGGCAAATGGTTCACACCCTAAGGCTCTGAACCATTTGGTGGATTATTTTAACTTTTGGTTAAAAATTGACAGATGAAAAGTTATCGATTAACCCTGCTATCCGAGCGTGGTTACTTCTGACAGACAAGAAGTTAAATTTTGACGACCGTGGCTCGAAAACCGGTCGATCGACAGCACGGGGATTTTCGAACATAAGAAATAACTTTCGAAATGTCACTTTTAACCACGAGTTAAACTTTACTCGACAAATGGTTCACATCCTAAAAAGGCGTATATTATTATAACATGGACTCTGGTTCAAACGCTGGCCAGACTGAGCAGTTATAACATGTTATAACGGTTGTCAAATAATTGCAACACAGTATTCACCATCAAGATAGCGCTAAAACATGTTATAACTCTGTAGTCTGAACGTACTATCAGGCTATATAGGTCTAACATGTTACAAGGGTGACGTTTGATGACGTTTTTCTTGTCGATAATTATTATAACACCCTTGTAACATGTTATAACTCAGTAGTCCGAACAAGGCATCAAACACTGGCCAGACTGAGCAGTTGTTGCCAGTGGCGTCGCGTAACCTCACTTTTTACCTATGCACCAACTTTCAAAAACATATTTAATGCCATATTCATACTCGAATCGGTTGAAAATTAACTTAATCTTCTAGTTAACTCGATATCTATCCATTGCAAGCAATATTTTGATAATTGTTTATGTTTTAAGAGTTGGTGCACAGGTAGATTGAGGTTAAGGCGACGCCACTGTTATAAGCCTATCTTGATGACATTTTTTTTGTCGATAATTATTATAACATGTTATAAATCTGCACTCTGAACAAGGCTTAAAAAGGTTAAAAAATTGTGATTCTTTTATCTTACAAAACCCTTCTTTCTTCTTTTTCTTTCAGTTAAACGTTCCAACGAACCAGGCTGGCTGGAGGGCACCCTCAACGGCAAGTCAGGTTTGATTCCAGAAAACTACGTAGAAGTCCTGAAGTAATCCGAATGGCAACTGTTTACCACTAAATCACCAAATAACAAACAAGTGAGCCTGCAATCGTTTAGCCGAGTTGTATGTTCAACAGAAAGGTACCATATATTGTGTAGTTATCGAATACCTGTTAAGTGTAGAAATGAGATGAAGGGCTGTAGCGTATTAAAGGGATCCAGATTCGTCTTACACAACGTAACGACGTTGTAACGAAGATCTGAAAACTTCATAGGAAAGGTGTAGGAAATACCAGGACATCATATTCAATATCCCGACAGATTGTGCAAAATCCTTATGTATTTTTACTAAAGAATTTTCTTATGTATTTTTCTTTTTGAAAACTTTACTCAGTAGATTGAACAAAAAGGCGATAAAATACTAAGACTACAAATTACATTTGCCGATTGAAGAAAAACATATATCATACGGTCCATTTTTCATCACTCATTCAATCACAAATAAACTCTCGTAACAAATAAACTTGAATAAAGGCTGTTATCCCAATTCTTGGTATTGGCACAATGATTATAACATATTTGCTAAAATTTTATTGATTTTATCGCTGAAATATTTTAGAGGTAGAGAGATTCCAAATAGGGCTAAACGATCCATTTTTTCGTACTTACAATAGAATATATGGTCGCTGTGTAACGGATCGTAACGGTAGCAATCTAGACGGAATATCCAATAAAAATGTCCGTTCATACGAAATATCAGGCACTATGAACCGAATGCAAGTAATTCTAATAGACAACATCGAATGACTTAGAGGTGAATGATAATATCAATTTTCAGCCTAATGCCAGTGTATGAAATCGATTGTTAGTAGGATTTCGTACAAAACAGAGTAATATTAAAATTAAACAAGCAGGATCACAATAACAAACAAGAAACACCAATAACTTTGAGGTAATAAATATTCCTTTATGCAAGTCGAATACAAAACAAAAACCACATATGATGATGTTAATAAATGGTAAAACAGTAAATAACTTGAAACAGAAATCTTACACCACACGACCACCGTATGTCACTGAAGTCTCCTAAATACGGAAATTTTCGCATCAACCCGTGTATGTTTTTTGCACATCGAACTGGACGTTTGAACGTCACGGAACAAAATTATCTATGCACCGTCCAACACATACACCTACTAAGTTGAATGTCAAATAGTGCTTTCAACTAGGTTTTTTTTTCGAAAGGGCTTAGAAGAGTCGCTATGAATCATAACCCTTTTCTAGCATTATATTTTCCATTGTTTTCGTTTGTTTTTCCTCAAACGGTTTTCAAGCACATCTAACAGCAATTTGATTTCAGGAGAAATATTTATTGAATATTTGGTGTCACCCCGTTGTCTTTTTTTTAACATGTGAATGTACCTATCAGTTTAGCATATTTATATGTTTGTGTTGAAAGTCTTATTTTTTTTTTCGAGCCCGTTTATTTGCTGTTAATTTTCAATTTTAATTGACAATTTTTATCGGTTTTTTTTTTTAGTTGATAAATGTTTTTGTCTATGGTCTGGTTGTCCTTTACTGTAGAGTAAGATGGGGTAAGATTGGTCAAATAATACATTTGTTTGTTAATATCAAATGGTTTATTTTAATCCCAATGCTTTTTCAAAACAGTATTGGGGCTACATTGAGCCTGTTGGTGTTGAAAAACTAAAAAAAAATTAATCAAGTAGACCCATCTTGTCCCACCTTACCCTTTATAGAAGTCGTATCTATTGCACTTGGTCCATGTCGCCAGCCACGGTGACTGCGGAGACTCTGGAGGTTGCCTTCCACTCTGGCGATCTACCTTGCCGCTGCGCGCATCTTCGTCTAGTTTCGGTCGGGTCATTTTCGAGAACCATTTTCACCAGGTTATCGCCTGACATTCTAACAACGTTCCCAGTCCACCGCAGTTACCCGATTTTGGCCGATTTCCACCTTCCATTGAAAAACACCAAGTTGATCCTGCACGAGCATAGTCCAGGTCTCGCGACCGAGAGGATTACCGGTCAAATCAACGTTTTGTGTAGTCAATTCAACCAGAGCGTTCTCCGGAGTAAGCTACAATGTATGTTCAAATTTCTTTGCTGGTCTCATTATCGGAGGTCACCAATGAGCCTAAATACACGAACTCTTTGATCACCACGATTTAATCGTCGTCAATCTGAACTACCATCCTCATCTCATGTATTTCATCTTGATGCGTTAATGTGCAATCCGCTGGAATTCAACCTGAACGGGCTTCCTAAAGATTGTACCAGTCGTGTATAATATATGTCTAGCTACGCTCTTCTTATCACTCCTTCCAAAGTGGTGTTGAAAAGCAGACACAAAAGCTCATCAAGGTTCGAAGGGACTCGAGAGTGTCCCCGATAGTCGAACAACGCACATCACTCGATCCATCGATAACTTGACGAATCGCGTCAGTTTATCCGGAAAACCCGTATTCGTACATAATCTGATTTAAAATCGATTTACAAATGATGTGTGGGCACGTTATATCCGTGGCAGTTCTGTCGCAGCTGCCGAATCGCACCCATGAATCACGCTTGCTATTGTCCTCCGAATTCTCGGCATAATATTTGGGAGAAAACCTTAAAGGCGGCGCTCAGCAGTGTGATCGTGAGGTAGTTGCAGGTTGCAGCAATTCAGCTTGTAGGCTTTTCTGTAGATTGGACACACAATAACTTCCATCCACTCCTCCGGTAATTTATCTTCCTCTCAAATCTTGGTATGATAGCGCTTTGAGATATTGGAGCATCTACTGGTACCATCATGATAGCAATTTATATTTTATTTGATTCTTATAGCTTAACTGCCGTTATACCCATAATTGTCCCATGTACTTTGAAATCCTCGTGGAATGTGGTACACTTTTGTTTATATCGGCTGGTAGTTAGTTTCATCAACTATGAGCAGCTAAACACTCCTAAATGCACTGTCGCCCTATAGGCTCTCATCGTAGACTACACAAAGTAACAAACGAGTAACATTCACCTAAAACAAACACAAAACCTAGGGTACACTTCTGTTTTAGTGTAATATATGTACATTATTATTAAATAAGCTATTAAGATATAAAACATGACAGGCTTCATCTCCACATTACGTAGCATTTCCTAAATGTTTTGCACCCTCCTATCCTCACTATATTTTTCGTGAATCACCATAATTTTACGTTTTGTCTAACTTAGCTTCTCATGTAAAATGTCCTCTTTATCCGCATGATAAAAAAAAAACTAGTCATGTTCCATTCTTTCTAACAAAAAAAAAAACAATGTGATAATCTTACATTAGTAACGAAGCAAAAAATAAGCTTGAAATTATGATTCTTGTTGACGTATTTTTTTATCTATAAATAACTTTCACAATTTCCTACCTCTCCGTTCCAATCAAAAATGCTACGCTCTTTGGCGATGAAGCCTAAAATAGTAACTAATATGAGAAGGCGAAAAATATGTGGAAAACAATGACACCAGAAGAAATAAACTTCTAGCATTAAGTTTAGTGTCATAAGTGTATAAAAGAAGACAAATTATGGGCAAAATACTAGAATATGAAACTCTAAAATAGCGGAAAACCGATTCCATTGACAAATGCAACCAAAACCGTTAGGGAGATTTTTATCGGGAGCGTGTGTTTTCTACTAGATTTTCTATTGTATTTTCTTTTTCTAAAATGGGTGTATCTGATTACCAATACGTAGACGCTGCATCGGCTTGAGTTTTCATAGTTTGTAGTATAAAATTCTTAACATAAGTATCACTGCGAATTTCCTTCCTGGTAAGGATAAAAGTCAAAATTTCCTTTCTATAATGAGTTGCCATATGACGTACAAACAGAATTCATTTCTTATAAACAAACTATTATGTCCTATGTCTAGAATTTTGGAGCTCATCTGAAAATCTTCGATTATACAATTGACATGAAAATTACTCGTCATCGGAGAACAATTGTACCAACTGAGCCATGTGTTGTTGCGCTGCTTGACAGAGTTAACTTATTCTTAGCCCAAAGTTTTAACCATTCCCTCTTAGTCACTGTTTTTCCTCGTACAATTCGACTCTTTTTTATGTGACTTTTCTTTTGCTAACGGCGTTAGTTTAAAGTTTTGGATAAATTTCTAGTACTGAGCTGGTGAAAAAAAAAAACAAAACATTCCCTGAGTTTATTTAAAACCTAGTTTCCTTCTTGATTCATCCTAGAGAAAAAAAAGTATTTTTATTTTATTTTACCCAATTACTTCTCAATATCTACAAGAAGGCCTGTGATATATTCACAAAATCAGAGAAGAATTGGTCCTATCGTATTAGCAAAAACATAATTTTAAATTGTTTTATTCTTTTGTGGTTTCTCCTCCATGTTTTACCATCAGTTTAATTATTTGTAAATAAGTTGTATAGTTTTAGTTATTATGTTTGCTCTTATTGTTGAATTTTAGCAACCTACTGATAAATATTTTAAAATACTTTTGATGGAGTCACCGTATTAGGAAATGCCTGATGCCTGATCACCTCTGACTAAAAACAGCAGAGACCAACAAATTTGTGTAGCCAAGTATTATGATGTAATGGAGACTTCGCGCTAGATACAAGAAGATTTGTTTCCGGTTTGGTTATATTTCTAAACATTTACAAAAAGCTAATCAATCTTGTGAATAACGGACTAGGAATTAACATGTATGAATATATTGTTATTTAATTTTATGCTTTTTGAAGTCAGTTGAGAGAACTTTTATGACTACAGAAACCAGAGAAAACATTGAAAGATGTGTATGTATTATTTTATTTATACAAGTATCTCGATGAATGATTCCTCGGTATGTGAAAATACAGTCAAAGAAAAAATAAAATCTACAATCTGCAAATCCACGGTTGCTTTTCTTATATTTGATAGTGAGGTATCACACAAAATTTGTAAATCTACGTAATTTTCAAACATAAGGGTTCCAAAAGTTTCTGTATCTAAGCTAAAAGCTAGGTAGGCGAAAGTGGGGAAGATGGCCACCCTAACGAAACTCGAATGAAATCCCACAATTTTGACCAGAAAATAAATCTTTCTATAATCCTACAAAAATTTCAACGGTTGACCTATAATCCTATGCATGAAGAAATTGTTTAAATTCTATGAAAATTCATAAGATAATTTCATTTTTTCAGGCACAATTTTCTAATAATATTCCTTCTACATGCTCACCAGTGGCCAGGACAGCTTTAGGCGGTTTATTTAACAGATAGTGATTATTCCCAAAATACTGTCTACCAGTTACGGATGGAGATGGGACTTCTTCTTCTTCTTAGCAAGAGTTTGGAAATTGTGCGACTTGATATATGCTAGCGCTGGTCAACGTGCGGCCTGTGATATTTTTGGATGTTCCATTTCTATAAATATGTGCTTCAAGCATTTATATACACACTTAGACAAATTGATGTAAATTTAGGTGCTCTGAGACTGACATATACGAGCGTTAATTTTAACATAAAATTGAGTCATAATAGACGCGAAATTCAGCTCAATCAAACGTACTTTCGAACTTTTCAGTCTTGGAGCACTTGATATGTTTGTTTATGTCTCATCATTTATGTCAAATATGGATTTTGTCACCTGTAATATTAGGTATGTCTAAGTGTGTACCCAATCCTTGTTTTGAATGACTGAGCGTACATTTTCTATGGAAAATGGTCTCAATTACCTGTTGTGTGAGCGAAGGCAATCGGTGTGAGTCGCCTGCTCGTGAGTGACTGAATGTTTTTGTTGGCTCTTTCATTGCCTCGTCCTTTAAGGGCCACCCACATTAGATCCGTTTGCGTTGCGTTGACGTAAATTTGACAGTTAGACAATAGATTTAGCTGTCACTTTGCCGCAACGCGTCCGATCCGGATCTAATGTGCGTGGGCCTTTACCGTATGGTACAAACGGTCTGGACAGAGCAATGAATTGAATAGTGCAGTGCTTTCACACTCAGCCTAAGCAGTCAATAATTTTACGCTCTGCTTATCTGGTTTGATATTTAGAAGCTTTTCCGATTCGTCCATCCATAGTGATTGCTAAATTAACCACTTCATTCGAGCAGTTAAAATGACGTTTACTACCACTCGAACTTTGAAATAAAACATTATTTAGAGATTTTTTTCTTCTAGAACCTCGAGAAAGGCAGCCAACATTTGTGCGTTTTAAAATAGAAATTAGTTGGTCCAGTTTTGTGAAATCGCTGGTAGAAAGTCACGCCAAAACTGCTTGACAAAGTGGTCAATTGTGATTGTGTCTGTGAATTGTTTTCATCAGGGAAATTTTCCGCACACATACTATTCATTTGACTCATAAATTTCATGTGTACTTCTGTTTATGTGTGCGGTCACATGAAAATCATGTGGAATTTCACATGGAAATTCGTCAATAGAAATATGTGGAATTTTATTAGTGTAGATAGTAAACTCCATTTTATTGGTTATTTTGTTGTTCTAATTGGCCAAAGAACCAAAAATAAATGTAGAATTTGTGTGGTGATGCTTTTCAAAAGATTGCAGACCCATGATAATAACGCATATATAGTAAAACAGGATTAAAATAACGAGACGATCATTAAATACTAATTTCAATATCAACTTTATAATTGAAAATGTGCAAATGTAAATAAATGTGTAATGTACTCTACAGCACAATAAAATCAACATATAAATACGTGATTGTTTTCGAATTAAAATTAAATATGCTACTACGAGAGGGTTCAAATTAGAAATCCTCAGAGGAAGAGATGGGCGGAGAAAACAAAATACAATTCGGAGCAGGGTTTTGTATGTCATTTATCTTGCATGCCTTTCCAGAAATTAGCGTTTCACATGACTTTTATTTGCGATCCGATGTACGTGCAAAATAATAATCCAGTGTATCGCACATTTCTTGGTACTATTAATTAACCAACAAAGATTAATTAAACAATGGAGTTAGAATATTATGCTTGATTCCAGAAACTAGTTGAATTTGAGAACCATATTCGATTGCATTACTCTATACTCTGCAATACAATTTAATCTAGTAAGAATGAGAAATCCTCAGAAAAAATCTAATGGGAATGCTCATTTGGCACAAAACATTATCTCCGCTCATCTCTCCCACTGAGGATTTCTAGTTCAAATGCACTTTTGGTCCACGACATCCCTGGCAACACTGGTGTGCCTATTTCCCGTCTGGGTAAAGATCCAGATAAGGTCTGTGCTCTGCTAGTTTTCAAGCTATCTCAAGGTTTTGAAAATGCCAAAGGACATTGCTTTTCTTTACGTTCATAATTTAATAATAAAACAACAATGTTCACTAATACCCTCCCCTTGGCTAGTTTTTGCACCTTGATGTTGGTGGGCGGGCTTAATTTCATGCTTTTTAGTGGAGTGTTGGAGACGGTAGGTTTATGGCCGGCGTTGCTGGCTCATGCCGCGATAGAATGGCGCCATGGGCAGGCAATGGGGATTACTAAGTTTCCCCTCTCTGATAAACCACTGCATGAGAGAACCAAAGATCTAGTCTAGCAGTGATAGTATCACACTTGTTACTCCTTTAATTGACAGCCGCGTCGTAGTACGCTTACGTATAGGCACTGACGTTGGGTGTGATACTGGCGGGTTTTGCCGCAAATCACTCTTAATTTATTTATTTTTACGCAGATAGATTTATTTGGGTTTGCAAGGGAATTATACTATTTATTGAAATATTTCAGAAAGTGCCCATCGGTGCTCCTTCTATTTGCGTGACAAGCTTTCATTGTTGTTTTCATTGAAGTATTACTCAGGAAACAATGTTAAACATCATTTTTGTACATGGTATTGTAACTAATCTTATATGTGCTTCATTTTGATTTGGGATAAGTGTTTGAACTATGACTCGGGATTTCCACTGTGGTGTGCTTTTATTGTGACATACCCATATATATTTTTGTGGTGCGACATAGTGGGAACGTGAGAGCGTAATTGGAACATTTACCCTATACAATATACAATTTAAAATTAGCTTGGAAACTTACTTCAAAGTGAAGCATTTTAGTCACTTGAAGGTGTCACCTGGGACGAACAAAGATATAATTAATATATGTCAAAGCCAGAAGTACTTGAAACATGTTAAATTTAAGTTTAAAGCATGAATTATGATTGTGTAGGTAGATTAGAGATTTCAGTTATTTATTAAATAAACTTCAATTAGAGAATTCAGAAAGTTAATTAACATAAGAGATAGGACGCGGGGGGTCCCCTTAGGGAGGCGACTAGCCTTTGAAGTTGTATAATAAATCTTCCTATTTAGTGTATTTGTTAATTACAGGCAATGTTAATAGTGAAAGTCATATCTTCAACCAGACGCTTACGAACAAGTAAAGTTTTAGGAAAGATGTGTTAAATATGTTGATGGGTTTGAAATAAGAATTAGGATTGTTGTGCTTTAAGGTAAGGTATGATGTGTCAACAAAACCCTTTTGAGCAAATTTTCAGACATCAAAGTGATCCAGTGATTTATTGAAAGACATTGCGTTGCGAAAATTGACAAGTCATTCATCTAACATAGTAGTAGTAGTAGCAGTGTCGCATAATCTTATCACAATTGCTGCAAATAGTGCTGGAGGGGCCGGCAGGACTGAATACGGATCAAAACTAACATAACTACTAACACTAAAATGATCCCGGAACTAACACTTATCCATTGCACTAGTTATATATTAGTTTTATTTAGTTTTTTTTACTAAGTTATCTATGCTTCTTTCTAGTCTTTGGATCAAGTACAACTAATACTAATCTAGCTTTATGTATGTTTAACTCCCTTTTAACCCATTATCTTTATGAATGGCGAATCATATGACGTGAGACACGGGGATTTCAATTGACTAAGGAGAAGGAAAAGAATATCTTCGAAAAGGATATCAAACAAATTCAGGACCAATCCAAATGAGACCAGAAATCAACAAGGCATCGGGGCATTATATACTCGGTGAGGTATTTGATAAATAATCAAAAAGTGGTAAGTTAAATCAAAGTGGAGCCAAGGATCATGAGAGGTAATTGTCAATAATTCATTAATTAGTAGAAATCTCGATAACTTTTTCAAGGGAGCGTATCGGCTTTTGTAGGCGGTGCGTTTGGTCGTCGATTTGGCGTAGCTGGTGGCTCGCCCACGCATGCTAGCACTATCATCAGATGGGGAAATTTTCCTCTACCTGGTAGTGGTGTTGGTAGGCGTGCGCGAGCTGCCGGTTGCGCCGGGTCGACGATCGGATGCATTGTTTGCAGGAGCTGGTGCTTCCCTTTGAAAAAGTAATCGAGAAACAACCATATTATCCTGTAATTGACAACAAGACAAGTGGGGGTTAATACACAAGACAAAATGACAAAATAAGTGACGACAGAAGACAAGACTGGGACAAAAATCAACCTTTAAAAAAAAAGAATGCGCAATTATATTATCAAAACTATTTGGATCAGCACAAAAACAACAGTGACCAAACGGGCACCATAGCCTAGGAACGTCTGTGTGTTGATTTAAAATAGAGGCTTATAGAAGCAAAATTTATCAATAAAAGGGGTCCAGTGTAGAGTTTAAGCAAGTGCTGCCACTGGATCACTACAAAAAAAAAAAAAAAAAAAAAAAAAACAACAATGTTTACTAATGAAGCTCATCACTTCAAATACAGACTATGACTATGGCTTATATTATGTAATATAGGCTGTCTTGCAATAAGCACTTATAAACGCTGTCCAGACTGAGCAGTTATAACATGTTATAACGGTTGTCAAATAATTGCAACACAGAAACCACCATCAAGATAGCGCTATAACATGTTAGACCCTGTTCACATTACAGCCTATATCACGTAATCACGTTCACATTACAG